TGCTCAATGAATATCGAACAGCAGATCAAACGCTTCATTGAATTTGTACATAAACCATTGGACTTCTCTAGCTACGGTTTTACGTCCACCCAAATAATCGGATTGATAAGCTTTCCCAGCTAACAAAAATGTGTTCCAAGAAAGGTTTTCTAACATTGCATTAAGTTAAGTTCCAAACGTTCAGTTTTTAAATGTTTTAAAAAATGTGTATACTTGCTTATACAGACGCTAAAGGAACATGCAAAGATTATGAGAACGTTATTCTTTTGGACGTTCTGAAACAAGTAACACAATTTAAAAAACCATTAGATGTCTGTTTCGGAAATATAATGTTCCATGGACGATGTATAAATAACGTTTTTATTCTAATGTTTTGGGAACATCATTAAAGACCAGATAACTCTGAACAAACGTTCTGTTAACATTACTGAAATAACTTTTGCTCATAACTTTGAGAAAACCTCAAAGCCAAAGTTCTGTGAACATTCCCTGTTTGCTCGGTTCATGTAAACACCTGAATTAACTTTCAATCGGATTGAAAGGGTTGGCGTAAACCTGAAACAATCTGATCAACAAGATGAAAAACTAAGCAAGTAAATGCTTGAATCCAACTATTTTATCAATTGGATTCAAAAATACCCTGCACACATGTGCAATACCACAATGCATGTTACATGTGTCTTACCAGTTCCGGCGGTGCGAAAACGCCAAAAAGTGGGTAGTTCCACAATTATTTCTGGTACTATGAAAAGGTTCCCGCGGTGCGAAAGGCCCTATTTTGAACCGGTCAGTGTAGGCGACTGAATATTTACTAAATATTTGTTATATAAGCTGAAGCTAAAATGGCATTTATGCTCTGGTGAAATTATTGCAGTGGCTTTCTTCGTTTCTGAATTTTATGAGTCATAACGAGCTTCATAATGCGAATAACTTCATTGAAGAACTGTTACATGTTGTTGCGTCATTCGAGTGTTTGACTCCATCTGCCCTCAAACAAGAAATATGAATGTATTTTCCATTGTCTTTCTTGAAATGTTCCATATTCCAACTGAAAAGACCATCTTGTTAGTCTGAGCTGGTTTTCAGACAGTCTGTCCAAGCTAGTTTAGATGGTCAGCCAACTGGTCTTCAAGCCTGAACAGGTGATAAGGTTAAATCCTCTCTAAAACCACCAAACTAGATCAGCCTGAGTAGTTTAAATCAGTCTGGTAATCATGCCAGAATGCCAGAATGCCAGAAAAAAACAGCCGGTTGATGCTGGTCTAAGCTGAAATGCCAGATTCTTATGATTCATATTCGCCCTTCTAATCTTCTAGCCTGGCATTTATCTCTCTATCGCGTCATTTATCTCTCTCTCTCTCTCTCTCTCTCTCTCTCTCTCTCTCTATTCGCTGTCATCTTTGCTCTCTTCTCGTTGAGGGCTTGCAGAACTCATGACTGTTCTCTCAGTGAAGGAAATCTGGGCGGTCAGCTCGCGCACGTGTTTACTCTAAAACCCAAGCACACGTATTACTTGGCGCTCGGCTGAAAATGGCTTCTCGTTCTGTTTTTTAATCTGATGTCATGTTAGTGGAATTCTCTAATAGGTCTCTGACTCGGTCTTACCCCTCTTATTTGGCGACATTTGAAAACACACAAGCATGTAGTCTATAAACTGCACAGTTCACACTCACTTTTTCACAACAGTGAGAAACCCAAAATGTAGTCAACATTAAAAACAGTATTTATGCTAAATAGTACACAGCCAATACTAAATAGCCAGAAAGTACAATGGCTGATTTGAAAAGCAAACAAAAACTACAATAATAATATATAGTACGTATTTATTTATGCATGCATGGATTCATTCTTATTTATATACCCAAAAACGGTATCAGCTGGTAAAAAAAAAAAAAATAATAATAATCTTTTGTTGCTTAGCCTTCATCTCATAGTGTTCTCCAGCTTAACAAAGGCTCATTGTGTTCTGGTTTGTCCCTCTTGTAAACTTTGGCATCACTGTCTTTTTCAGAAATTACATGTTTAGTGGTTTTCATATTACATATTAAAGCAGGCTGATACAAAACAACAACAAAAAATGTATTATCAGATTCTGATGGAAAAATCATGTGCCGAACCCTAAGCATGTGTGTTTATTTTGAGGAAGGAAAGACATTTGAAATGTTCTTAATTGTTTCTTTTCACTTCCTTTCTAGCACTTTAAGTATGTAACTGTGATGATTTGAGAAGTGTAGATTGTTCTTTAAAGATGCAGTGGATGTGATGTGAAACTTTGCTCTTATAGAGTTCTTATTACTGGCCTAATTCTCAATCAAAATGTTGTTTCGGTACACCAAAACCGCTGGCATTCAGTACAGTACATGTTCTGTGCAAACACAGATGGCAGAAGGGAAACTTTCCCTAAAACTCTGCCACTTTAGCAGTTTGATGTGTGTGGTGGAACTGTATTTTCTATTTACTTCAGATTGTCTGAACTCAAAAAATTAAATGGCACTTGCACTAAAAAGCTGGTATACCCTTCAGTCTTTATTTAAAGATCCAGTATGAACTCTAAGACAGATGATTCAGAGCACAAAAAAAATCAAAATAAAACCGACAACCACAACAATAACAACAGTTCAAAGAGATTGATGTGCACCTGTCCTGGACCACAAAAGCAGATAGCAACCAGACGCAAATTTACTGTCTACACTTTAAACAATGTTACAATAATCATTTATACAGATTATAAAGAGATACGATAAAACAAAGTCTGTTCTGCATTTGATCTGGATCGTGATAATGGAAAACACTGTAACATGTTTTCATAATAAAAAACTGCTCACCGCAGATAGGAATTCTTTAGCTTTGGTTGAAGCGTGTGATGCATCATAACTCACGCTCCATTCACACATATCCAACGACCTTCACAGAAAGCTTGTTTTGTATGCATTTAACTGAATTTATTAGATTATAACACGTGTAACTGATTATTAGCATATGTTGGATGTTTGTCGTTTAGGGCTCTTCAAGTGTAGCATCATAAGGAGCTCTTTATCACTGCATAATTTATCTTTCTCTTTCCGAGGTAGGTATAGATGGTATTAAGATTGTCAGTAACATCAAGTTATGCAATGTTAGCTTTGCAACAGTAGTATCATCTACATATGTGTTTTATTTAACGATCAAGGCATAAACTACTATTTCAGATACAAAGAAATATGAATTCCTGGAGTTTAACACAAGTACAGCATTCCCCTCCACACAGTACATGAGAACAGTGGGTATGAATATAACAAGATAAAATAAAATCATTTCTTACCTAGCTAATGGCATGCATCAGTGGGTTAACTGTATCATATATGGCGACCTGTGGCAGCTGACCAGTGTTGGCAGTTAAAGAAACAATAGATCCGTTCCAACATGGACGTCAGTACAAGTAAATTACAACAACAGGTTTACAAACTTAACACTCAAGGAATATTCCTGGGTTCAATACAATAAAATATAAGTTCAATATAGCCCTTGTGACATAATGTTTCTGTAGCTCAAATAATAGATCATGGCGTTAGCAATGCCAAGGCCATGCGTTTGATTCCCAGAGAATGCATGAACTGATAAAATACATACCTTGAATGCAATTCAAGTCTTTTTTTTTTTTTGATAAAACTGTCTGGTAACCGCATAAATGTAAATGTAGGTCATGCTGCTAACAACAGCAAGGTCATGGGTTTGAATTCCTGGGCACGCATGAACCAGTAAAATGCATACCTTGAATGCAATGTAAGTCACTTTGTATAAAAGTGTCTGCCAAATGCATAAAGGTAAATGAAGATCGTGGCGCTAGCAACAGCAAAGCCTAACACTCAAGGAATATTCCTGGGTTCAATACAATAAAATATAAGTTCAATATAGCCCTTGTGACATAATGTTTCTGTAGCTCAAATAATAGATCATGGCGTTAGCAATGCCAAGGCCATGCGTTTGATTCCCAGAGAATGCATGAACTGATAAAATACATACCTTGAATGTAATGCAAGTCTCTTTTTTTTTGATAAAACTGTCTGGTAAATGCATAAATGTAAATGTAGATCATGCTGCTAGCAACAGCAAGGTCTTGGGTTCGATTCCCAGGGAATCATGCATCAGTGGGTTAACTGTATCATATATGGCGACCTGTGGCAGCTGACCAGTGTTGGCAGTTAAAGAAACAATAGATCCGTTCCAACATGGACGTCAGTACAAGTAAATTACAACAACAGGTTTACAAACTTAACACTCAAGGAATATTCCTGGGTTCAATACAATAAAATATAAGTTCAATATAGCCCTTGTGACATAATGTTTCTGTAGCTCAAATAATAGATCATGGCGTTAGCAATGCCAAGGCCATGCGTTTGATTCCCAGAGAATGCATGAACTGATAAAATACATACCTTGAATGCAATTCAAGTCTTTTTTTTTTTTTGATAAAACTGTCTGGTAACCGCATAAATGTAAATGTAGGTCATGCTGCTAACAACAGCAAGGTCATGGGTTTGAATTCCTGGGCACGCATGAACCAGTAAAATGCATACCTTGAATGCAATGTAAGTCACTTTGTATAAAAGTGTCTGCCAAATGCATAAAGGTAAATGAAGATCGTGGCGCTAGCAACAGCAAGGTCATCGGTTCAATTCCCAGGGAATACATTGGCTGATAAAATGCATACCTTGAATGTAATGCAAGTCTCTTTTTTTTGATAAAACTGTCTGGTAAATGCATAAATGTAAATGTAGATCATGCTGCTAGCAACAGCAAGGTCATGGGTTCGATTCCCAGGGAATGCATTGGCTGATAAAATGCATACCTCGAATGCAATGCAAGTCACTTTGGACAGAAGCGTTTGCCAAATGCATAAATGTAAATGTAGATTGTGGCGCTAGCAACTGCAAGGTCATGGGTTTGATTTCAATGGAATGCATGAACTGAAAAAATGCATACCTTGAATGCAATGCAACTCTTGTTTGGATAAAACTGTCTGGCAAATGCATAAATGTAATTAATATAGATAACCACACACAAAAAAAAAAAAAATAGTTACAAAAAATCATTACAGTTTTACAGCATTTACAATAGAAGTGAATGGGGAAAATCCATAAACATTAAAATACTCACTGTTTCAATAGTATAGCCACAATATGCTAACAACATGGATGATTTTAGTGTGGGGAACAAAAAAGAAAGAACACATTTTCTGAGTAAAGTTACATCCAATTTTACAACTTCTTTGCCAAGACAATTACAGCTCAAATAATGCACAATTTTTAACTTAATTTTGTATTGGTAAGCAACATTATGCCACAAATTCAGTCAGTTAATTCTTGTATTGAACCCAAAATATGAATTTAACCAAACAGAGCTTCAGATGCTTGTAGGGGGGAACGTCTCAAGTATAGTCTGAATTTAACTAGTGTGCATTATTGGATTATCAGTGGACTGACATACAAGGCAATATTACAAGCCGATTTAATGCAAATCGCAGCAGGTTAAGTAAAAGACTATAATAAGCCACCAAGGTAAAAACACCTTGATAAACTGCCTCCAGCTTTTGGATTCAAGGCTTTTATTCAAAGTGCTTTAATCCCAAAGCCATTTCATTTTTTTTTTTTTCCCCAGACCCCTCATTCAAACGAAACCCATTTTTGACTTAATAGGTTAGCTGGAGGATGACAGACAGGCAGGCCGTTCTCTCATACGACTCTTTCGTCAGTATTGCACCTTCGCTGAAGTGGCACAGACAGAGAGAGTCTTGGCTGATTTTCCTGATCTGAATTACTATTCAACAGTGCCATACCTGATCTCACTTTGCAATGTAACCCACTTAAAAATGGTGAAGGAATTCGACTTAATTGGGGGCAGCGAGTGTGTGTTTTCATGACGTTGGTCTGCGGTGTGCTGTAAAGTAGGGTGTGTTTGATTTTGCATGAGCGTGACAGTATGTGTGCTAGTTCCTTGAACCCAGGTTCACAAGAACAGCACAAAAAAAAACAAAAGGGAACCAGGAATATACAATAAACAATCACAGACGCACCAGGAAATCCATTCACATTGCAATGGAACAGCGCTTCCGTGGAGATTCATCCAGATCTGACAGATCATGACCTATAGGAGCAGAAGAAACAGCCATTTGTTATGTACGCTCTTAAAAGTGAAAACTCTTTATTGGCATTGATGGAAGAGTCTTTAACATCCATGGAACCTTTCCATTACACAAAAGGTGCTTTATAGTGGAAAAAAAAAATCTTTAGATTCTTAAAATGTTTACTAAAAAAAACAAAAACGTTTATTTTAAGAACTGATCACTGAAAGATTCCTTAATGCTCTTCAATTGAATTGCTATGAAAACTCCTTTTGCAAACTTTATTTTTAAGAGTGTAAATGAATATATGCCACACATTATGTAACTATTGATTTATTAAAACACTCAAAGCGATTTGTACTTACTGGGAGATTTTGCAGTTTGTTGTCTTGACAAAGCGGCCCGTGTAGTGGATATTGCACCTGACTACATTATTTGTGTAGTCCGATTCATGCACCAAGTACTTTGGGTTAACCTGGAGCTGGAATTTAAAGAAAATTTTTTGACCGTCAGTGCTGTGAAAAAGTAAGTGCACCCCATAAACACATGTATGTATATGTGGTCACATGGTTGAAGGTGATATACGGTTTTACCAAACAACATCAACAATTTGGCTTTTAAATGTTTTCAACAAAAATTCACCTATCATCTGTGGAAAAAGTAAGTACACCCCTACATTTAATAGCCGTCTCTTACATAATTTTTTGCCAATTATTCCACTTTCTGCAGGGAAGTTCAGACTGCTTGCAGTTCAATACTCCTCTGTTTTGAAAGCATTTCAACAGTTAGCCTCAGAGAAGAAGGTAATGCTGACCACTTTTAACATCACTATACTTCAGCTATTGTGTTGTTGCTTTGCTGAAGGTCAGAAAGTGAGCGGCTGGGATCTGCCTGAAGAGGCACGTCTGTATCTGTCTTATTTATGAGCACAGGTTGCATGCCGAACTCATTGCACCAGCATCATCGATTTCAAACAGAAGAGTCGGACGACATGCGTGACATCAAACGACTCGTCGTGCCAAACCTTCAGAGAGACGTGTCGTATTCTGTTAGACGCAAGATATTCTCTGAGAAGACTCTCTTTGAAGGTAATGAAAAATGTGCTCGTGTGAAACAGAAGACGGAGTGTAAATGTTTTGGCCTTCTTTGAGAACGTTACCTTGAGTATATAGTTTCCTGGCTGAACATCAGTGATGTCAATCCATTGGCAATCAATATCTGCATTGTATGTGTCATAGCAACCTGGACTGAGACCCTGGAAAATCAAAGCGAATGAAAACAGTAGTTGTTAGTAAAAAAACAATGACTCATGGAAAATTACTAAAAATGATTAAAGCGTTTGAAGAGAATGGGTCACAGAAGTGTACCTGGGTGTGTGAAGTACAGGCGTATCGTTTGAGATGGCCGAAGTCGCAGGTCGTGTCCTCCAGACAGAAGCTGGCCTTGTGTCCCTCTGCCACCTTCCGGCCGCTGCTGACCTCTATCAGATCGTAGTGACTGAACTCATCCATACTGTGGTAATGTCTGATCAGAGAGAGAGAGGGAGAGAGAAGAGACGACACTGAAATCTGGGTCTGGAGTACAAAAGAACAAAGGCTATATCATGTAGTGTTATTTTAGTATCATTAACATTATAGTTTATTAATATTTTAAATTGGTTTGAGTTTTATATCTTCTACTTTCGTTTTATTACTTTTTACTTTATATGTCTATAGAGTTTTATTCATTTTTATTTCAGTTTTAGTTATACTTGACAACTAGCTGAAAAAAAAAAGAAAGTTAAAATTGTGTTTATTTTATTCTATTGCAATGGTCAGAGTCAAGTTTATTTTTATTTCAAGTAACATTTTTTTTTTTTTTTATGGTTTTAGTGTTAGTTCGCACCACTGTACTGTCAGATGACAAAGGTTCTTTATATATACCGTGGTACTGACAATCATTTGTCACGGTGCATGGAACTACAAGTTACTTACAAGAATACCATGATAGTAAAAAAAATAAATAAAAATAAAATAATAATAAAATATAAAATAATAAAATATAACATAAAATATAAACAAATAAATAATAAAAAAATGTATAAAATATAAAATAATAAAAAATATATATATAAATAAAATAAAAATAAAAAAACCCGGTTTCACAGATGAGGCTTAAGCCTAGTCCCAGACTAAAATAAAAGTCTGAGCTGTTTTAACTAAAATAAACTTGCACTGACTGATCTTAAAATATATCAGTGCCTTTGTTTTGTCTCAAGGCACTCACCAGTAATGCTATTTTCTAAGACACGTTTATATCAAATTACTTAAATATCCTAATTGAACTATTGCCTAATCCTGGTTTAGTCTAAGCCCTGTCTGTGAAACCAAGCCTAAATCTTGCTAACATTTTGTAAGAGCGTTTTACTTCCTTCTGACACATCCATCCATCAAAATAAATAAACACAAAAATTATGTTAACCCAACCCTTCTTTTCCTTAAAATAAGCATTACATTTGGTTACAGTGAAGCACTTACTGTAAAAGAATCTATAAACGTTATAATCTCAATGTAAAAAAAACCCCAAAAAAACCGTACTGTTTCAATAGTATAGACATAAGATGTAAACAATATTTGTGTTAATTTTAGTGTTGATTTTAGTGTGGAAAAAATAAGCACATTTTTTTCTGTATGTTTTCAAAACTTTAGACACCATTCATTATTATTGTTATTTTTTATTTCCCTCTAGTACAGCCACCAATAAATAAATAAAGATTAATAAACATTAAATTAATCATTTCAAGCAATGCTCTTTCTTCTGGTCAAGTGTTTGAAATGCAGGAATATTTCAGCTGACTCTACATGTCATGGTGCTGTTTCTTACCGTCTGCTGGGTCTTTTGGCAAAAGTGTTTTCTTGGAAAGCTGTGGTAATACCTGAAGGGCTATGGCAGGGAAAACAGGTACTTTCCTCTGACAGAGTTTCCACAGGGATACTATATTTCCCTTAATATGCCAAGCATATTAAATCTTATTTGATGAGGGGATGACAGACATTTCAGGGGCCTGTAGCCAAATCCCTGAGCAAACTACATTTAAATGACAGATCATACACACACAGACACAGACACACACAAACACACACACACACACA